CTACAAACTCTATATGGCATCTCTAGTCTTTTTGCAGGAGTTTTTTTAGGTGAAGAATGAGTTTATAAGTAGCTTACAGAAGCTAATAAATGATTTATAGATGTTTTGATAGTTAATCAATTATTTTAGACTGATGGATGAGTAAAGAGGCTGTGTGTAACCATGGCTTGTAACCATCAAAGGCACTTTATTTTGGCTGTGTTTATTAGCAGATCAGTATCAGTGTGTTGCAGATATGCTAACATTTATTAATGATTTATTAACCTGATAGAAACCATCTGTAAATGCAAGCTTTGTGCCAAAGTGAGACGATTCCTTTTATTTCTGCTTTCCTTCTCCTACTAAGACAAGTCTGCTTGAGGCAGCTGGCACAGCTGATGGGGAAGAAGCAGTGTTTCTTCTCTGTACTACACTGAGCTTAGAGCTAAGAGGAGGACTTCATTTTTCTTGTCTTGTCAGTAACTTAATCCTTTGTGGTTTTGCTGTTCCTGAAATAATAAAGTCAGTCTGAAGCCAAAGGAAAGCCCTTCTCAATTCTCAGGAAAGCACAAGGATGAAGTAACCTTGGTCTTTCCCAGGCTAGTGAGCAAACGTTTTCTGCTGGTGACTTTCCCTGGCTGCGAGAGCAGAAGCATCACCGCAAATAAAACTCCATCCTGGAAGTTACAACAATGATACTCTGCACCAGAGTCCATGATGAAGATCTGCTGTGCTAGTACTGGCGAAGGGGAGACAAGCCATTGGTTTTCTGCATGGAATTTGCCAAAGCAAAATTAATTCTCATGTTCAAGTGGGAATCTGCCCTTTCTAAACTTAAGTTTCTTAACAAACCCTGTAAAAATTTATTTAAGTCTCCTTTTAACTCCTTCCCTCCTCCTCTGCAATCTAATGAAAAAAAAAAAAGTCATTGTGTATGCAAAACAATGCTACTATTCAGGAGCAGAAATGTACTTTAGAGTCACATCTGTAATGGGGCAGGAGACTTTTCCAGGTTCTTCCTTTCTATATCTCACTTAGAAAAAAAAAAAAAAACAACAAAAAAACCACACAAACTTCTTTCTTTTTTTTTCTATGTGCCTTCACTAATGTGCAAGAATTAAATGAATGGGTGAGGTAGTGCTTACAAAGTAGAGCCCTTTGGAATTTTTTTTTTGGCCAAATTCCAGCTAATTCTTGAATCACTGTTGGATTGTAATAATTTATGTGATGAGTTATTACAGACAGGCTGTTTCACTGCGGCTGGGCGTTCCTCGGTTCCACCCATTGCCACCAGGACTTTAGGACACTCAGCCTCTTTTTGATGTAAAGGATCAGTGGAGGAAATCATAGGAAGGAGTTCTACCTCTTTACTCTCTGGTGCATCAAAACAAAAGGAAGAACGCTTTTGCAGTTCCATGGTTGGCCGTTTCTTCATTATTTCTTTTTTTTCTTTATGTTTAGAAACATACTTCTTTACGTATGTTGGAGGGGTTTAGAATATTTTAGGCACACAAGAAATAACAGAAATAATTTATTTTATGCCAAGAACTGTTTGAAAAATTTTTCTCAAATCTGTTGGCTCACTACAATCTAAAAATTCTAAGAAATACATACAGAAAGATCTGTGAGAAGTAGTATAATTATCTCAAGGACCTTGTCAGCCTTAGGGCCAATAGATTCGTTATTGTTTGAGCCTGACATACAGCTCTAATGGTGAGACCTCACATGAATGCTCCTTCTGCCCCTGGCTACTCACGGTGACTTCCACGGGGCTGTTTCTGTGTTAGATTTGCAGAGCTACTCTTTAAGGGGTCGCAATCTGCCCCTATTACAGCGGGGGAAAACAGGTGAGGGACTGAGTTAGGCGAGGGCAGAACCTGGACTAGTTCAGACTGGGAGCAAAGAAAGTCATTTTTCTTTTTAAACAAATAAACTGATATAGACACCAATTTGGAGGGAGTTTGTTCGGGGTTTTTTTTTTTTTAATTCTTACTATATTCAACCTTCAAAAGGACACAGTGCAGTTCAGAGGTGGGCTGCCTACAAGCTCAGCTCCTTGTCGTGTCTGTGCAGCTCAGGAAAGTGAAAACAATGAAGCAGATAAACTTTTGAGTTCCCAATGACAAAAAAGAAAACTGGCAGACTTTTCTTGCTATATTGTTAAATATCTCTATTTAAATGCAAATGATCATCTGACACTGCCAAAGTCATGTACCAGGACGCAGGCATGCAAGTTAAAAAAAAATTTTTTAATGATTTTTGAAGATGCTGGATCACTTTTATTTCCAGGAGGAGTACAGTTGGCTGAATACATTTTTGGTTGCAAACTGAGGATCAGCTCAGCACCTAGGATGTTCAAATATGAGGATTTTTATTTTAAGTGTAGCTTTTGCTGAAGTGTGGGCAGTCTCTCTAGTTGGAGGTCACTTGGAGGGATGCTTGAAGCTTATTCTGTGTTATCTCACACAGAAGTACATAACAGAAGTGTTATTTACTGCAGTGGAAAGCCCAGTGCATACAGTGTGTTGTAGAAGGGGGTAGAATCCAGGGACAGAAAAAGGAAGAAAGGGCCGAGCTGGTGTTCTGCCTCAGGAATACATGGTTACAAGCAATCTGTGCAGTGCTTTGTACTGTATCTAGCTGCAAGACTTCAGGCTTTCTCCCTGAACTCCAGACCCCTCAAGCTAGACAGGCAAGAGATTTGACTGCAAGGAAGGATTGGGCATAAAATAGCATCTTTGCAAGAGGAGGCTCTGCCGTCCGTGTGTTGCAGTTCCTCCCTAGCTGCCCCCAGGAGGGATGCTTCTGCTCAGGTGAGGACCAAGCAAAGCAAGTTGTGAAAAGGTTATTTGAATGTGCATCTGGGGCCCTACCCTTTCCCCTTCCCACTTCTTCAGTTGGTCAGGGACAGCCAGTTTATAAAACCCACTTCCTGGGGATCATTTTTATTCAGTTGGATGAGCACCAAAGCTGACAAACAAACTTAATCTTTCTGAGATTCTCTGTTAAAATTCTTCCTTTAATTTGCTGTTTACCTGACCTTCTTTGTAAAATTCCCTTCTTATAAATCAATATGGATGTATTTGCTTTCTGCACAGGGTTCCAGTAGTCTCTTAAAAATCATAATAATCATTATTACTGATTAAAGTTGCATTATTCATGCCAGATGGAGTCCCCTCCCCGTCAGCCAGAATGAGTTTGCATTATGTAGTTATAGTACGTTTGTGATCTAAATAAACAGATGGCAGAACGTGACAGCAAATTATGTGCCGGTGATGTCAGCAACAACGCTTCCCGAGTATAATTGCTTTAAATGAACATGAATGCAGCAAGGAGCTGGTAGTTTTAACAAGGTAGTTGGCATACAGTGTGGTAATTACCATACAGCATCATCAATAGCACCGTGAATGCTGCGCGAGTGCCGAGGAAGAGCGCTGGCTTTGGAGAAGAAGTGGCAGAAAGTCCGACTTTACACAACTATCACAGTGGGTTTGCTCAGCTGTGTAACTTCGCAGAGGTATAAGCACACTGCTAGCAGAGGAGCAGTGTTTTCTTTTGGGGTGATCCAACCTTTGCTGAGAGATGTTTTGCGTTTTCTCCAATGCTGTCTCCCATCAGGATGTGTGGGAACTATTTGATTTTGTCTAATAGAGCAGTGTTAACAGCAGCTGCTGTTAATACAGGATTGAAAGGTAAGCTCTGGATCAGGTTCAACGGGGAAATTCACTTAATAGATTCTCAGCAGTATTCAAGGATGAATAAAAGTTTAATCAAAGACGTGGTCAGGTTCCTGCGGTCACGAGAGCAGCGGTGAGGACTGCGTAGTCGTGAACAATGCTGGGTTTCTCAGTGCATCCTTCCCGGTTTGGCTCAGTGTAAAGGGCTTGGCTGGGGCGCGGGGTGCAGCAAGGCGGGCGCTCCGTGCGTGGTCCGGGAGCGTTCAGCATGCAGGAGGGAGAAGCGCTAAGTGCAGGAGTGTGACTGAGCTCCGGCTGCGTCTGGATGGGAGCCCTGGAATGAAGTCTGCATTCTCTTGCAGTCAGAACTGGTGTGCGACTGTCCGAGTATTTTCTCAAATAACGGAAGAGGCAGCCAGAGGAGAAGGTGCCAGTCCTTCTCCCTGCTTTCCGTTTCCTCGCACAGTGGTCAGCATTTAGCCATGAAATGGAAGACATGAACTGGGCTCCCTCTGCAGACCAAGCAGGTTTCAGTTGCTAGTTACTAGGTAGTTTATAAGAGCTACCATTGCCAACTAACTCTTTCTCCTCCATCTCTATTTTACAGTGAAAGCACCTACAGTTCCTTTTCTCTTGAGGGTCTAAACATGTCAGCATGTAGAAGGATGGTGTAGAGCATCATCTCTGGGTTCTGAAGGAACCTCACATGAAGGAACGTGAGGTTCCCTCAGAAGTGTCAACTGCGGGCAACTAGAGAATCAGCAGTCAGAAACAGAAATGTCCCGTGAGGTTAGCTGTCCCTGGGCTTTAGTGGTTGCACAGGATACGTTTCCTTTACCATGATATTGGACATGAAGACTACGCAAGCTTTGGGGTGGAGGGTGGCTTTTAATCAAAGGCACTGAGTGTACTGCCCCATCGTTCAGATGAAATTGAGCATGAGATAGATAGGTATCCTCTCTAGCACAGCTATGCCTTCTCCGGTGGAGGAATGAGTGGGTCTTACCTAGGACGTAGAGAGCAATGTTAACAGCGATGGATGATGAAATTGTTCCTCAGTCCTCTAGACTTGTTCATCCTTTTTTGTTTTGAAAGGTCTCAGTCATTATACATAGCAGAGAGGTATTTAGGGTTTAAAGCACTTGGATAAGTATCCATATTTCATCTACATTTGACACCAATTCTACTCTTTATCTAGACCTTTTTTGCAGGCATTGTTTCAGCCTTGGTAAAGCATAAAACTCCTCCAAGGACAAGTTGCTCCTCCTCCTCCTCCTCAGCAGTTGCTGGATGTCAAAGAAATGAAAGGAGGCCACACTTCTAATCTCTCTGTCTGTCCTGCAGGTGGTCGATGCCACAAGTCCTGCACAGGCCGGTGCTGGGGACCCACAGAGAATCACTGCCAGACCTGTAAGTATGCAAGATTCTGAGAAACAAAGGACTGAAAAGCTATGTAACAGGGATCCTACTTGTTTTTGATTGCGAAAGGATACTATAAAGTCTGGTTTTAGTATAATTCTAAAATATTTTAAGTTTTTTTCCATGTTTTTACCAGATCTGCTTTTTTTCTACCCATGTAAATTTATGTTTTTCTTTCTTCCCTTGTGCCTCCTCATAATGCTTAAGCTAACTTGAATTTTCTTTTCGCTTCTTGGCGGCAACATGGAGCATGACTCCTGAGAATATTGATGGTTATTTCAGAATATACTGAAGTGAATACTGTAGAAACAGAAAAAACTACAAGGCAAATTTGAAGATGTTTAATGACGGCCTGATGCTGCAAAGTTCCTAATGCCAAAATACTCAGTTAATTTCAGTGAGAGCCTGGGAATATTAGTTATCTTGCAGAACTATTCTCTTTATAATAACTCAGAGTGTATTTGAGTTGTAGTGAAACAGAGAATAATAGGGTTTATCGTGAAGGAAGTAGTAAGTGAAAGATTGTTCGCAATGTCTGTCTGTCCTCTTGAATTTAGAGAGCGTTAGAATGAATAAAAAAGAACTACACTGAGAGAGTTTCTTCCTTGTGTGCTTTCAACTCCTTCAGATAGGCACTAAAGAGCTAGAAGTGCAGTCACAATATTAGCAAATATAAAAGAGGAGAAAATTGAGAGCTGTCTTTTCCTACAAGTTTTTTCTTTTTTTCCTCCTTACGGGAATAGAGCTATCGTTCACATTTCTGTTCTTTGAAATCTAGGAGAGTAGAAATTGGTTGCGTTTACTGGAGTCACTCTTGCTAGGAAATGAAATGGTTGCTGATATCTCCCCAGGAGAGCACTGCTGTAGCTTGCGCCTCTTTCCTTGGCTGAGCTGGAGATAGGAGGAAAGGATTGTGACAAATTAACCGCTGTCAAGCGAGCGCACCAACTAACTCTCTGAACTGATGATAGCCCAATGTCATCTGCCTTTTTTGTTGGAAATATTAGGAACAGTGCAACGATGCCTTTTTTTTTTTTTTTTGACGACTCGGAGCAAGAGATAAGAGGAAATTAGAAATAGCAGACAGCTTGACATGAACGTTTTCTGAGTGAGCAGGAGCAGGAAATCCAAGTTGACCTCCAGTCCGTGACAAAGCGAGGGGCACAGGCGACAGAGCTGCGTGGCTGCAGAGGCCCTGCCACCCTGCCGGGTGCTGCTTTTCGTTCAGGAGCATCAGCTGATGTTGCTGGCAAAGCTGATGACAGTTACAGCTCTGCTAAAGTTAACGTGTTCTTCTGTTTCATATTAAGCTTTATCTGCGAGTGTGATTAAATATGGTTTAGGACAGGTTGTAGGAATAACTGCATAATGAACCAGGTACGGTGATGCTGAGCAAATTCTTCTTTATCTGAATCGAGCTAGTACGTCTCCTTCCTTTGGTGGCAGTCGTTATGAAAGCCTCAAAGAAGTCAGTGCTTAGAAAGCCTCCTTACATCAAGGTTATATGCTGAAGTAGATAGTGGAAAGGGACTTAAACCCAAGCTGATCAAACCATTTTATATCATGGTTAGATTAGAATTAATTAATTAATGCTAGTTCTTTCTCTGTCCTAATAAGGCACTTGTTTGTCTACTAATACACTAGTAACTCTGTAAGACTCTGGGTAGTTCATCCAAACTTGAGTAGACTTACTCAGGCCCTGCGTGGTTAGCTGATCCAAGAATACCGTAAAACCTTGGCAGTTATATTTACGTAAGGATGGTATGATTCTGGCTCAGGCCTTCGCGCCAGCAAGCGGAGGCTCCAGCCTTATCTAAAGTTGGAAAGTCCAGCTGGACGCTGTGTGGCTGCAGAAGTCCATGTGGCAGGATCAGCTCCCATGGTCTCAACCTCTACAAAGCACTGCTCTCAGATGAGTGAACCGATTCGGTGGATTAATGTAGTAATACCAGAGAGAGAAAAACTTATCTGCGGTGGTGTGAAGTCAGAAGCTTAGCAGAGCTGCACGGTAGGTTTGCTCCAGGAGTGACAGCTATCTCTCTCTTCACAGCGACTGCCCTCTCAAATCCAAACAGTGGGGACAGGCTAAGGCACAGCCAGGGATTTAAAATAATAAACTATGGACAGACATATGCCATCAAAGTTACAGGGAGATACACAGATCACACATTTCTAATTTGAAATAGCTACTGTCAGCCTTTTACCTTCAAGCGCATTCTGCAGCCTCTGATTGTCAAGGACAGGAATTAATTTTATATAATATACTTTTTCTTTGCCTCCCTGACCTTGCTGCACCTTGGATAAACAGCAGGATTTAAGGAAAACACTGAATATTAGGCTGACTATGGGCATTTCTTCATTGTACTTTCTCAAAACGTGTTTTTCTGCAAAGAATAAGAGTATGAGTATGGACTTGAAAATAAAAATGCAAGCGGTGCTTTTGCTGCCTTCATTTCTGGTGTTAAAAAACATGCCTGGCTTTCAAGCTCATAAACGTTATTCTTAGATACAAGTCAGAGATAGGATGAATGGTATCACAAACATAGCAAATACCTTAACCTAGTCACCTTGAGAGGATGCACGTCTTTCAAAGGCATGTAGGAAAATACTCCAGCAGTACTACAGCCCAGTGTCAAACTATTTTGTTCCTAGAAACAACTCAGAGGTACGTCTGCATTTTAATATTTTCATTTTTTTATTGAGTCACTGAAGCAAAAAAAATCTAATGACCCCCCCTCCCAAGATAAGATTTAAATTATTTTCCTGGAAAAGGATAAAAAATGAAAGATCTTAATCCGTGCCTTTCATTTCAAATTACATATGGAAAAAAATCAAAATCCTTTTGTTTTTTGCATGAATATCATCTACCCAGCTGCTTCTTATGTTGCCTTCCAGCAACGTCTCTCTGTATTTCTAACTCTATTTGAAACATCACCTGCATTTAACTCCGTCCTAAGGTCTCTCCAAATGTTACTAGAAAATTTACATATTTAAGAAGACAATTAATAGCAAATTTAAAATAAGCTGTTCTATTAGGAGGTAGAGAAGATGTAATTTCAGGGTACTGTTTTATGCAGTTAACAATTCTTCTTTTAAATAAATAAATTATTAGTAAATATTAATATTGAACATTTGTAAAAGGTAGATGGTGTTCTTTGCTTCAGTGTTGGGCCAGCTAAGGTGGAAAGACTTCTAAAAAGAATCTGTTTTTTCAAAGAGTATTGGGCACTCACTAAATAGAATGTAAACCACTTAAAAAAAACCAAACAACAAGAACAAACACTTTTGGAAGCTACTAATCAAATTTGAAAATCTACAGTTAGATTGTTAACTATTTTTGCTGTTTATGTCTGTTAAGAGTTTGAAGTTTTTTTACTTTTTGTGTGAAAAGAAATTGACACTTTTACAAATTGAATACATGATTAAAATGACATATTATGCACTTCATCCTAAAGGAATGTAACTGAAATAAAAGAGAAAAATCTAAATTAAAATACAGGCCGAAGCAGGGGAATGCAGAAAAGGCCAAGAGCCTTTGAATCAAACCCAAAACATAAACATGCAGCAAATATAAAACGCTCCGTGACTGTGTATGTGTACAGGCGTTTGGCCTGAGCATAATTATATTTATACAGTCTTTGTGCAGCTGGTATTGCTGAGAAAAAGAAGGTGCCAATGCAGTAAGCACCCAGTGGTGCAGCAACAGGCACGTGGGAGCCTGGTGGGGGAGACAGAAAGAGCTGAACCAGCAGCTTGAATCCATCAGGGTAACCCGGCATTTTTGCTTGGAGCCAGCATCTTTAATTAAAATCCTTGTATTTCTCTAATAACTTTGCATGTTCATAAGACTTTTTCATTGATTTCAGTTACTTCCCATTTTTTCCTTCGTAGCTTTGTAGTGCCTTGACAGAATTAAAGATTAAGGAAAACAATACAAGAGACTGATTAATTGCACACATATGTGAAGTGCCCATTCCACCCTGTCCCCGGCACAGCTTATTGCTGTATCGCAGTGAAATACCAGTAGAGACTGACAGTCAGTGTTCCGTATTCCCCCAGAAACCCGTCCCAACACACGGCACATTTTTTCCAGACCGTGGTGTTTGCCACTGTCCCTTGCTGTCCCAGCCTGACTGTGACAGTTCTGTGTGGCCAAGCCCACAGATTTCTTAGGATCCTACAAAGGGTTGGTACGCATCAGGGCAGGTAGTTGTGCTGATCCTCAGAAGTCTGGTCCGAACGTGGAGGCCTCAGCTGTGATTAGTGAAGGCTCTCCTCGCAGTTATGTTGGGGAAGGAACGAGTATCTGGCAGCTAAAACTCCTCTGGGGTCCCAGCCCAGAACTCCTGGATCTCACATGTGTGTCTGGTTGTGATGTGAGGGCTCCTGATAGCTCCTGTCTACCAGCTCCCCTTTGAACAGTCTTCACACTGGATAGCAGGAGGAGGAGGAGGAGGAGGAGGTTGGTATTGTTCCCCTCTTCCCTCTCAGCTTGCGGCAGGTTTGCTCCAGGTTGACGCTGCCTGTTTGCAGCTGCTGCCCAGTTCCCTACCATCTGTCCCCACTCTTCTTGGCACCATCTCGAGCCACGTGTCTCCTCAAGGAGCCACCCACCCACGTTTATCAGCCTGAACATACAGTTTGATATTTTGGGTAATATTTTTACCTTTGCGTTTCATGCTTGGATAGGTTTTGAATCACCGCTATAAAATCAGTTGACTGCATTTGGAGGAAAGCTTTGGGGGAAAAAGCTTGCTATCTTTTTAAACTGGTGTAGCTATGTATATTTCTATAGGGTTACTCCATGATAATGATTGCAGGAAGTTTACTGGAATCTGAACAATCTGATTGTTTGGGGACTTGAAACAATACATACTATTGCCTTGTGCTTGCTTTGCTTTGGGGAAAACCCTTCATTGCAAACTCTCTTGAATATGAGTCCTTAAAAAACATTCAGAGCCCACTAAGCTCTTTTCCATCTTGGAGTATGGTGCCACTGAAGATACTTGGCAGGTCCACCTCAGAGCTGGACCCTCGATAGTAGTCATAACAGCATGCAAAGAACCACAAGATAAATATGGTATGTTGTGGCCTTTTCCTAGAATGAAATGCTGGCATTTCTGTTGGCATCACTTGCTTTCCCAGTAGACAATTAGGGAAGAACAGTGACAAACCTTTGCTGCAATTGTAAATTTTGCAAACCACTTTATAACTTCATAGTCTTCAGGAAAAAACTCAAAATGTTCCCTATGCTGAGCAGCGTGGCAGAGGCGCTCGTTAAGCTGGTGCCTGCTCGTAAGCCACATATGCTTTCCACAGGCGCTCCGTGTAGGTGCTGTGCTGAAAAGGGGCCATGGCCCTCCAGGTCAGTCCTGGTATGGGGGTGCTCCTGCTTTTTTAAATGGGAGAATATACTCTGGGCTAAATTGTTGTAGTCTAAGTTACGGATTTTTTTTTTTTAAATGACAGTATCTGCAACTTTATACACTGCACAAGCCTTACAGTTGGGCTCTAGAGGAGGGCGAATAATTTAGATGATTTTGTCCTTGCCTAATAGTGTGAAAACTGCTGAAAAGGGGTCAGTAAATCGCTTAAATCCATTGCTGTTGTCGGAGCTCGTTTCCTACTGCCGTTGAAGCTATGGCAGCCTAAGGAAGCGCTGTTATCTGCAGCTCGGCTTGAAAGACGTGTGTAATCCTGCAAATCCAGACCTTGGCTCGCCAAAAGCGATCGCCCGGGAGCTGATGAGAAGACCGTGCCCTTTCGGAATGTGCCCAGAGCCGGTCGGTGTGATTTGCGGTCGGGGACACCGTGGCAGGAGGCACAGGTCCTTCCTCCCCGGAGGTGGGGGATTCCCCTCCGCAGGGCTTGCATTTGGGCAAGATTCCCGGCTGGGGGACGTGCTGCTGGCACTTGGCGTCTCTGCCCTCGGAAAAGCCTCTGCCAGGAAGCCTCCATGGGGAAGCAATGGTTATATCGTGATGGTGGACATCTTGACCCGCTCCCAACAGCAGCTAGCACTGGGGTAAATAATTTATAATGGAGTTAATTAGGTGGCTCGTACTAATTGTCCACACAGAGGTGCTTTACACCAAAACCTCCCAGGTTTAAGCAAAACGTTAAACTGCTGTGGAGCAACAGCGAGGAATGCTATCATGTCCTCTTCTCTTTTCCTGTTGATTGTATCCACCTGAAATTCGGCTCCTTGGCTGTTTGCTTCTAATACAATTAAAAACAAACAAAAAAAACCAAAACATGCTGCTGGTGCGCAGTAATGTCCTAAGTGGGAACAGGTGTGGTGGGGCTGGGGGTGCCTCTGGAACCTTCGGCAGGGGGGCCAGGGATGGCGGGGGGGGGAGAG